TCCGCCACGCCGTGCAGCCCGTGATGAACGACCTGCGTGTCCCGTGTTGCAGCCGCCAGTACTCCCCCGCGCCGACCAGCCGCCGCCTGCCCCGCAGCGGCAGCGCGCGCCCCCGCCAGCAGCGCGGCGCCACCGCGTCGGCAGCGTCCTCAGCATCGCCGGCGGCGTCCTCGTCCGAGCCGGCCGCCGCGGCCGCCAACGCGAGCGCGGCCGTCGCCAGCGCCGCCACCCCGCACCCCGCGGCCGGCACGCTGCGCCGCGGCCGCTCCCTGGACGTCATCTGCGAGGAGGTGCTCGGGGAGGCGCCGCTGCTGACCAACCCGGTGCGACGCCGCCGCTCCGAACTCATCCCCAGGGCCAGGCTCATCCCGCGCAGGGCCGCCTCCGAAACCAGGTAAACAGGGCCAGGGCACCGACTTCCGGCCAGCGGGGAGGGAAAGTAACTTTCGGGGAGTGTCTGCCTCCAGTGCAAACCCGGGCCGCGGGAACGACCGCCTTCCCCGCCCCTACAGCGAGAATACGACCCGCGAGGGGGGGGGGGGGGGCAGACGGAACGACTCGGGAACTCGACCCCATTGCTCTCGAATCAAATGTCATTTCGAGACAAATTGCTTGGCCGGGCAGGGCAAGGCACGCCGGGCTGCTCCCAGGTACGGGAGACGGGAGCGACGGGACCCGCCGCCGCCGCTCTCTGTCCAACCAAAGGCAATCACTTTTCTCGTCAGAAAAGGAAAAACAATAAAGATGGGAGCTCTCAATGATCGGACGTCGCGTATAAGCCAGGGCCCGGGAAGGCCGAAATCCAGCAGGCCGGCGGCGGATTGCCGCGGGCCCAGCGAGTGGACTGTACTGGCGGCCGTCCCTTCATCCGTCCCAGAAGTGCGCGGGCAGGGCGGCAGGCCGGGAAACAATCGCATTTACGACGTAAGCAACAACAGGCGGGGCGTCTTCGCCGAGAGTGCGTTGCGCAGATCAGTTAATGAGTCTTTGCCTGTCCGTCTGCCCGTCCGTTCGTCTGTCTGTCCATTCGTCCGAGCAGCACGCTCCCACACACCTACTGGGCGCCTGATGAATGATTGCTCCTCAAAACAACGCGCTCTGACTGTGCAACTTCTCATCCTCAGGGCTGACTCCCGCACGCGGGCGCGCAGCGCGAGTGCCGTCACCGAGGACGCTGCGTTCGCCGCGTCCCCCGCGCCGTCGACGCGGACGTCGGCCAGGACGCCGTCGTTGGCGGTGAGGCGCTGCAGCTCGGTGCGGTCCGAGGAGGGCGGCGCGTGGGGCGCCACCTACTGGAGGCCGTCGTCCAGCTCCGCGACCAGGCGCTCCAACTCGCTGTGCTGTTCGCCCGTCGCCCGGTACGCAGTCGTACCGAGGGAAGGGTCCCGGGTTCGATCCCGGCCAGGCCGCTTCATTTTCCCGCCTTTTCGCAGGACGCCAGAGCGGCCGCCGCGCGCGTCGTCGGCCAGGCGGTCGCACTCGGTGCGCCTGGACAGGCTGGACGCGCCCGATGGGGGGCTCCTCGACGGCCGGCACCGCCTGGGCTCCGCCTGCACCACGCCAGCGCCCCAGAGCCAGCGCTGCTCGCGCTCCAACTCGTACCGCTGCCCCGCGCCCTCGCCCTTCAAGGACCCCGTCGTGGACGAGGGCCAGGACGACGGCGTAGAGAGCTCCAGGGCGGCGGCAGCGGCGGCGGCGACGGCAGTGGCGGCGGCAGCAGCAGTCACCGCGATGACCCGACGGCCGCAGGTGAGAACCAATTCAAACTTGGAGGAAAATGGGGCCATCAGAGAACGTCTGCCACCGTCATCTTCTGCGGTGCAGGTCCTCCGGGTCACCGACTCGGCCACCACCAGCTCCAGCCGGAAGGGCTCCGTGCAGCACCCCGGCCCGGCGAGTCCACCGACGCCCAACACCATGAGTCCACAACTCAGCCCCGTCGACAGTCCACAGGCAAGTCCACAGGAGAATCCACACTTTGGAGTTGCCCCGCGGCCCGGCAGCCCCGCCCTCCCCGCCCTCCCCGCCCTCCCCGCCCCGCCGCCGACCAGCAGCGCACCTTCGTAAGTACAGCGTCAATGCTGGGTTTTAGATCGACTGGGCAACACGGACTTTGTAAAACGCGTTCCGTGCCTCAGGTGTCGCAGTCCTCCGTGACGCTGCGCGGCGTGCCTGCGGGCGTTCCCGTGTACGACGAGTACCTCTGCGCGGACCACCGCTGGGGCCGCCGCCGCCACCGCCGCAACAGCGCGGCCAGCGAGGAGGACCTGTGCGCCAACAGCTGCAGCAGCGGCAGCAGCAGCAGCAGCTACGTCACCTGGACCAAGAGCAGCTTGCAGAGCACGCAGTGGCAGCTGCTGCACAGCGGCGCCGGCGCCGAGGCCCCCGCGCAGCCCGTGTCCAGCTGCATGCTCAAGGGCGACGGCGAGATCCTGGAGGCGCGCGGCGACGCCGAGGGCGAGGGCTGCGTCGCCGTGCTCGCGCCGTGCCCCGCCACGCCCGCCGCCCCCGCCGTCAGCCTGCTGCCCCTGCCCAAGGCCAGCAAGGCCGCCAAGCAGGCCAGGCCCACGCCGAAGCGCGAGCGGCACTTCGACCACCGCAGCGAGTTCGACGGCCTGCTGCAGTACCTCCAGGACTACCGCCACGGCCTGCGCGAGCTGCTCGTCAACAACAACGTCGTCATCATCGAGCCCGTGAGGGCGTCGCAAGCCAAGCGCCACTCCGTCGACGACCGCGAGGGGCTGGACAGGAGGGCGCACAGCGCGCCGGGCGACGACCACCGCGACGAGAAGACTTGCAGGTGGGCTTTCACGCTTGAGAAATTTCGCCGGGTTTGAGTAACTCAATAATAGTTGAGAAGTTCAGTTGACGAGGAAAAGCTCAGCTTCCTTTATCTGCTTCCCCTCCCTTCCAGGATCACGGGCGCCATCATCAAGCCCATGTCGTCCTCCGACTCGGAGGGCGGCCACGTGACCCGCAGCCCGTCCACCAACAACACGCTGCCGCGCTCCCAGAAGCCGCACCAGCCCATCCTGCGGCGCCAGTTCTTCTACCACCCCATCAAGATCAACAAGGAGCTGGTGGACGCGGAGCTGCCCGACCCCGACACGGTAAGCTCACTTCTTGCTTCAGTTTCTCTTTTCCCCCCTGGGAGTACATGGAGTGTTGTCCGCAGGTGCGCAACGCTCGCAAGGTCTTCGAGCGCGCGCCACCGCTGGGCGTGAAGGGCGTGGGGCTGGCCGGGCTGGGCCTGGGGCTGGACAAGCGCTGCTGGACGGACTCGGGCAGCTTGTCGTCCGGCGTGAGCAGCGACCTGTCCTGCTGCGACACCTCGTGCCACACGTCGTGCCACGCGTCCTGCGACACGGACCACATGGCCAGCGGCAGCACCGACAGCCAGCTGGACCAGCGGGAGGCCTTCAGCAGCGGTGACGAGTCCGAGCCGGACCGGGCGGACCACGCGCACCGCGCGCACCAGAAGCAGGTGGGTTGGCTCTTGCTTGCTCTAGTTCGGTGCCCCAGAGTGGGTCAGAAGACCGGTGGAGGCGGCAAAAATTCTAGACGCGTTTTGAGCTCCAGAGTCGTCAAGAATTTTTGCCACCTCCACCAGCCCTGGCCCACTGTGTGGCGATGCAGTGCAAATTGACCAGCCCCTTCTCGTCCTCCAGCCGCCGCCAGCGACCCCGGTGACGCCGGTGCGGGGCGGCGACGGCGAGGCCCAGGGCAACCCCGTGTCCGAGGACGTGCTGCAGAAGATACGCGCGTGCGGCACCACCGTCACGTACTTCGGCGGGGAGGTGATTGCGTGCAGCGGCGCGGGCCCCGTGCGCAGCCCCATGACCATGGCCATCATGGAGGAGATCCGGCGCAGCGCGCGCCCCATCACGCTGGGCCTGGGCGCCTCGCTGGGCATCAAGTTCCGCCTCGTCAAGAGCAACAGCTGCGGCTCGCGCCTCGAGCTGGCGGGGCAGACCGCGGCCGGCGGCCACGGCGGCCGGTGGGTCCGCGCCAACCCCGCCCCCGCCGCCAGCCCCGCCGCCCCCCGCGCGCGGAGAGGCAGCGCCGAGCGCGAGGTGGACGAGACCGTGGTGCGCAACCCCACGCTGCGGCCCGACGACACGAAGCAGCCCGACGACGCCGCCAACAGCGCCGCCAACAGCGCCACCAAGCTGGACTTCCCCGTCCACCACCAGGACGGCGACCTCCGCGACGACGAGCACCTCATCATCGACGACTTCCACATCAGCGCCGCGCAGATCGCCGCCCCGCAAAAGACCGCCCCGACGAACGGCGCCTGCGAGAAGGTTCCCCTCCAGAACGGCGACGCCGAAAAAGCAGCCCTCCAGAACGGCGTCTCGGAAAAAGCCGCCCCTCGCAACGGCGGCGCCGACAAAACCAAAGCCGGCTTCTTGGAAAAAGCGACGCGGCCGAACGGCGCGGCCGAGAAGACCGCCCCGCAGAACGGCGTCGAGGACAAGGAGAACAGGCCGGTGGCGGGCTTCACCACCACCTGGAAGGCGGCCAGCAAGGACGCCAAGCGGACGTCCGTCCAGCTGCCCACGCTGCCGCCGCCGCAGCCGGAGAAGTTCGGCGTGATGGAGTTTGAAGAGTTCCAGTTCATCGACTCGTAGTCACTAATTAATTAGTTAAGCACGTCGGGCATGCCGGCATGATGCCGTGCCCGGCCGGGCCGCCGGTCGGCCGGTGGGGCGTAATTTCCCGAAGCCCGCTCACCACCATGCGCGGGCCGCTTCCGGGGAAATTGCCTTCCAACCGGCCGCCCGCCAGACGTGCGTGTCTGTACATATACTGTCATGATACTGTCCTGCATTCGATGATGCATTTGTTTTGGGGTTCAGCCAAGTCACTAACTACTGGAACGCGCACCACTAGCGCCTTGCTAAAAATGTCGGGGGATCAATGATAAATAATAAAATAGGTTCAAAACGATGATCGCGCCGCTTCCTAGCGTCCCCCTGGAGGCACCTGGAGGCACTCACCCCGCGGCACCGTGCTGGGCTCCACGCGCTTGCCGGCCTCCTCACCGGCCGCCGGGTCGCTCTTCTTGGCCGTGTCCGAGGCCGTGGAGGCCGCGCCGCCGGCCGACGAGCAGTGCCGCAGCGAGACGTGGCTCTGCAACAACAACAAGACCCAAATCAGAAACAACAACAACAAAAACACGACATCGGCGCTCCATCGACGAAAAGCATGGCGGGTTATGGCCGGGTGATTCCCTAGAGTCGACGACTCTCGTCGCTCTGTCTCCCTCGCACCCCTGCGGAACCGTGCGGCCGCGCAGGGCCGCGCAGGGCCGCGCAGGGGCGGGTGCAGGGCGCTGCCTGCGCTGCACGCGTCGTCCGCAGCGTGCTCCCCAAGCGAAAGAGACTGCGACAAGCGTTGGCGCAGTGAGGCAACAGGGCTGCAATCTGGTGGGGAGGACGACGGGGAGGGGGGTTGGGGGTCGCGCTCCGCGGCCGCTGGTGGGAGATTGCCAGAGACGCGGCCCCTGGACCCTTGGCGTCGTCACCCGTGCAATTTTCCAAACCGCTGAACGTGCCCCACAGGCCTTGCAGGCCCTGCAGGCCCTACAGGCGGCCCTCCCGCCCTCCAGAGGCCTGAGGGCGAGAGACGCCGCCGAGGCCGCCACCAAGTCGCCACCCTCGCGGCAACCTTGGAGCGGCGCGATACGTCGAGGCCGTCGAGTATGTGGCCCACGCGCTTCCTGGGGGCAAAGAGCCAAACATCCGGAGGGCGGTTAGGCCAGGCCGTTCAGCGTGCTGATCCGTGCACGCACGCGCACACGCGCACACACACACACACACACACACACACACACACACGCACGCAGCGCTACAAAGATAGCGCGTCAAAGAGCCGACGCACCAAAGCAAGGGTTGCGAAGCGCGGCCCGGCGCTGCTGGCTTCCAGGCTGCAAGACCGTTCGCCTGGAATATTTAACGATTCGTTCGAACCGGCTGTACTACTCAAAGGGAGGCTCCGCGCGGGGCCTTTGCAGTGTGGGGCACGGCACGGCGCGGCAGTCTTAGCAAACTTTCTTCTTTCATCCGGCATCGCCAACGCCAACGCGGCGCAGGGCCAGCGGCACTGGGCCAAACAGCAGCGAAATGTAAGCAAGCCCTCCGCAGGGACGGTTTAAATGGCCCGCCTTCACTCACTGGAAGCTCCATTTCGCTGCCTTAATACGGGGCTCCAGCGGCGGCCGAAAAAAGGCAACAAAAAACAAAACAAAAAAGAAAAAACGCCGGTCCCGATCGCGGCGAGTCATTTTTATTCAGAGTTAATGAAGCGGAGAATGACCGGGGTTAATGGGAAAGAGAAGAAACCGTCAGAAACACAGTGAGCATTGGCGGTCGACTGCAACGGCAGCGTAAAAAAAAACTCGCCGGGGCCGAGGAGATGTAAAAATAAATAAAAAAGAAGTGTATAAATGAAAATCGGGTCCCGCCGGAGCTGCCACGAACTCTCTCCGAGGGAGGAGGGAGGGAAGAGGAGGGGGACCAGAGTCTGGAGGGGACTTTCCAAAGAAAATGATTGCGAGATCCAGCCACTATTCCATGAGCCGGACTTAAAGAGACGGGACGGGGGTGACGATTAGACAGGCGACGAGCGCGAGTCCACCCCCCCCCTCCCCTTCCCCCGCCAGGGAATAAGGATTACCAGCGCCCCATCAACCCTTTTATTCACTGTTCCCGCCGCGTCCGAGGGGCACTCCACCGCCAGCGCCATGAACGGCGCGCGGAGCACGCTCGCCACACGTCGCCGTGCAGCCATGAAGCCATGAACTCGAGCCAGACGCGCCTGTCATGCAGCAGCGGCGCGCCGATAACAAATCGCCGCCTTTTGTCTGCCGGTTTAATAGTCAACCAGTGCACATGCCGCCCGCGCTGGACACCGACTGCGCCCCGGAGTCCATTGTGCGTCGCGACGGGACAGACCGCCCCGCTTTAGTGCGCCGCGCCGGCACCCCGAACCGAGCCAGCCCAGGCCAGGCCCAGGCGCCGACAAGGTACCCGTCGGGCTCCACCCCGGGGGCGTGCGTCTCTACAAGGAGTGCGCCTGTCTCTACAAGGGACGGGAGGGAGGACACCGCTAAGTCGGTATAGGCCGTCCGGAGTAAGCTCGGCCCTGGCACAAAGGGCTTCCAGTGCCACTGCCACGCCACTGCCAGCAAATTCAGCCTTCAGCGGCAAAGCCGCCCTGATCCATCCCGCGCGGATTATAGAGGCCCTTTATAACGCCGCCCTTCAAAAGGGAAATGGGCGGGGCGGGTCGTCACGATAATCATCATAATAAAATTAAAATTCAAAATGACGGCAATAATAATGATTGCCGCGCTCTCCGATCGGGTCGGCCAGAACGATGGGGGATTATTAAGCCACGCATGACCAGGCGGCCGCGCGCGGCGGAAAACCGCCAGCATTTGTTTTTGACTGACGCGTCGACGTGGACGCCGTGCGCGGCCAGGGGGCACCAGGGGTCGCATGCTGACCCCACAGACATCCCGCCTCCACTGGGGCGGCTGGCCCCCAACCCCCAGACCACAGGCACGCCCCGTGCACGCCACAGCTACACTGCAAAATGGACTACCAAGACGAATTTTTCGAGTTATAGTAACAGCAGGCTGCTTTCTTAGTCGGTGAACAACAAAATTTCAGCCAATGGGAGTGAACGTTTTTGACAGTGTTTGTCCATTTGGTGCTGGCCCCGACGGTAGGGCCCCTACCGCCCCGAGGGGGGCGCTAGCGGACCCAACGTCCTGGCCGCCCTGGCCGGCCGGCAGGTTGGCCACCTCGTCGCTCTCTCTCTCGGGACGGCCCGTGAGTGCGAGAGAGACAGAGCGACGAGCGGCGCCAGCGGGACGCACGGTGCTGAAAGAATAAACAGCGCGGCAATATCGTCGGGCAAAACGTAAACACACAGCGACGCGAGGACGCGACGACGCCGCCGCGTCTCAGGCGGAGACGTCCAAAGCCAAGCGCGCCTTCGAATTGCAAATCCAAACCTGATCGAAACACATCCCGCGGCGAGACAGGAACAACACGCCGCGGTGTTTGCCCAGCAGGCAGACACTATCAAAACCGAGTAACAGACACACACACACACACACACACACACCGTGGAGCGAGTACGCACCCTGCGAGCAGCCGTCCAAGAACAACGAAACAACAACAACACGCTGCGTGTGAACTCCCCCAACCGGCCGGCGCGCCGCGGCGTTACAAATGGCCATCCCCGGCAGATAAAACACAGCGCCGCAGTGTACTCAAGTTATGCGTGCACCCCCAAACAAAAACAAGAGCAAACAACACCGCCGCCAACAACAGCAACAACATGAGCACACCGCCGCTCTGCATATTGCATTCCGCCCTCTTTGTCCAAAGGGGTCGGAAGCTCCTACACCATAATTGCGTCCCCGCCTCATTATTCGACGGGCGGCGACGGAAAAAACAACAAAAACAACAACAAAAAATGACGAGAGCGTGACAGTGGCGACGGCCGAGGCGATCAACGTCGCGTAATAACGGAGTGCGCCGCCGGTCCGACCCGGGAGAGCTCCAGTTTCATCCCGCCGACCCATCTTCAATTTTAATTTTTTTTCAACGATTCGACACAAAACTTTGATATCTGCGTTGTGTGCCCCTCCCCTCTCTCTCTCTCTCTCTCTCTCTCTCTCTCTCTCTGGTTGTTTTTGGCACTGCGATCGCCCCCATCCATCCATCACGACGCGACAACCCGATGAATAACACCGGGACGGCACGGCCTGGCAAGGGCTCGGCAAACAATTAAAATCCACTTAGCGAACTGGAGGCGCTGGAGCTGGAGGAGGATCGGCGTGGCGGCGAGGCGGCGGCGAGGCGGCGGCGAGGTGCAGCGCGAGCAGGCCGCAGGGCGCCTGCGAGGTCCAGGGTAGGCAGCCCGCGGAGGCGGCGCGCACGGCTGGCCGCCGGGTTGCCTGCCAACCGGGCGCTCAGCCCCATTACCATTAAGGGCTAGACCACAGCCCGCTCCGCTCCGCACTCGACATCGACACAGAGCTCTGCTGCTACGAGAACGACGACCGACGCCAACACCGCGGTGCAGTTCCAAGTCGCCCGACGCCACCAAGCAGGGCAGGCACGGCCGGCGGTCGATCACGGCGCAGTCTATTTACAGCAACTAGCAGAGCAGGTTCGTTCCGAACGGTCGCTCTATCTCTCTCTGTCGCACTCGCACCCTTGACGGGATGCCCGCCGCGTGCGAGAGAGACAGGCAGACAGACAGGCAGAGCGTCGGGACAAGCAGCACCGGCCTTAGCACCCCGACGGCTAGGCTGGGCGGCCGTTACGAGGGCGAGAGTCACAGTCAGCGGATGCCCGCGCCAATCCACCGATGATGGGCACTGCGGGGCGTCTATGGGGCTCGCGGCGGGGAGGTGCGGCCACCGGGGTAAGGGGGAAAAGCCCGCGGTGCCGTAAACACGCCGAGTAACGAGGCTAATTCGCAGTGGGGCGGTCAGACTGCCGGTGCTTAAGGCCGCGTCGCGTGCTGTCGCGTGTCACACCGACCAGGGACGGCGGCGCGGAGCAAGGCGCGCAGAGCCAATCAAACCGCTTCCCCTTTTCGCACACAGAGAAAGCCGCCCCTCGCCGCCCCGCGACGACGGGGCTCAGCGAGTTCGCATACACTGACTTTGGGAAACTGGCGTGGTGCCACGGTTGCGAGCGGCGAATTTTTCATAGTCGGCTTGTTACGCGCTTGGAGTACTACTTTTCAGCGGCCAGCCTCGCGCGCGCGACGCGTTCGCTCGGCTCGCCCTCGGCGGACAATTCCTCCTTCTTTGTAATACAAAGGGCCTCCCCCCCCCCCCATTCCAGCCTGCCACCCGCCGCCGCAGTTTCTTCAAGTTGCCCCGCGACTCGATACATAATACATGCTGCACACACACACACACAGACACACAGACGCCACTCGGCTCGTTACAGGAAAAAGCTCCTTCGGAAAAAAACAAGACTCTCGTAAAGCAGGTGCAGTGGCGCGCGCACGTGGTGTGTGTGTGTGTGTGTGTGTGTGTGTGTGTGTACCGGCCGCGCAGCCGCGCAGGCTCACCTGTCCGACCGCCACTCCCAGATGCATCCCCCGGCCGTGCCGGCCGCGCCCCCAGGGCCGAGGCCTGACACGTGCTGGCCAAGGCCGAGGCCGCCGTCGCCGTGGACCCGATCAAATAGTCATAGCCTGATCTGTTCCCCCGCCATATCCCCTGCAGCCACCGGCGGCCACCGGCAGCGGCATCGACGCGGCCCTCCGGACTCCGGACTCGTTTCCCGCCAACTTTGCGCGCGGGGCGGGGCAGCGGGGCAGCGCCGAGGCCGCCACCACAACGGCGAGAAACTCTCTTTCGGAGCGATCCGGACGGGGCGGACGGGGTTGGCAAGCCCCACGCTGCACTCTAGCCGAGAAAGTTAATTAAAAACAAGAGAAAGAGAGAGAAGGAGGGAGGGAGATATAAAGAGATAAAGAGAGAGAAACAGAGCGGCGGGAAGGTGTCGTCGCAGACAGCAGGACTGGACGGGGCCAGAGGGAGAGAGTGCGGCCCAGCGGCCACGAAGCGAGACCGAAAACCGAAAACCGGCGAGTCACTCACTTTTCGCCGAATTAAAGGATTTTTTTTTCAGCCCGTGCGGCTGAAGCGGGTCGCTGCCCCATTACTATAACCCGCTGCACCGGCAGTGCCACGGCAGTGCCACGGCAGTGCCACGGCAGTGCCAGTCACGCGAGCAACGCCCCACACATTAGCGGCGTCGCGCCGACGCGGGTCGCTCCGTCTCTCTCGCACCCCTACGGGCCTACGGCACACAGTGGGCCAGAAGACCGGTGGAGGCGGACAAAACTCTAGACGCGTTTAGGGCTCCAGAGTCGCTAAATGGGACTCGAACCGAACGTGTGACCCCACCAATGGGTTGCTCTCCGAACGAGGAATCCATTGGTGGGGTCACTCGTCCTGTTCGAGTCCTGTTTAGCGACTCTGGAGCCTCCACCGGTCTTCTGGCCCACTGTGCGGCCCCGCCTCAAAGCACGCCGGGATTAATCATGGCCGCCTCTCACTCGCGGGCACGGCCTCGGCGGCCTCGGACACGGCGGGGAGGAAGAGGAACAAGATCAAAGTGCGCGCAGGTACACAGGGCGGGCGCACAGCGGCCCACAGTGCAGCCGATGTCGGCAAAGCCTCTGCCGCGGCGAGCAGAACTGGCGGGCATACGGGGAAAGGACAGGCGCCTATTTCCCCCTTGCTGCGGCGAGGGAGGAGTGGGGGGAAACGGCCAACCCTAAAATCCTCAAAAGGGCAGCAGCCGCATCAACAAACGCTCACACACAACCCCCCCCCCATACACACACACACAGTACACGGCCACCTGGATGACACGCCTCCCCAGGCCACACCCGCTCACACAGTCAGCACAACAAAGTTTGCGGCTCTCGCAGTCCACCTGCCTGCCTACATTCCAGCCTGCCTGCCTGCCCACACCGTTGAAATCGCCAGCGAGCGACTCAACAACCACCCCGCCGCCACGCCATTATTACCATCCGCACTACTACCACACTGCCAATACGGCACGGCGGCCAGAGTTTCTGTTTTCGCAGCGCAACACGGAGGCGGAAACTTGTTATTCGGGTCCACAGTATTACCATTCGGATACAAAAGGCAGGCAGGCAGGCAGGCAGGCAGGCAGCCTTTGGACGAGTGCATACTCTAGCAGCGCCGCGGGGAGACAGTGTTGACGGAGACCGGCAAAACTTCCGGCAACGGGTGCAGCAGTACAGCCGAGTACAGTGGCGCGAACGGCCCGAAAGGCGCGGGCGCGCGGTGGAGGGCCCGCGGGCTGACATTCCGACGGGCGGGGCGCTACACCGCAAACTCGTTGCCAAGTCCGCGACGCGTCCGGGCCACTTTTTGTCCCCCCCACCCCCTTCCGGTTTCCGGCTCGGCGCTAACCAGGGCCGGTGCAGGGGGCGTCGGCTAGTCAGCTACAGGCGGGGCCGCTATTTTAATCACCACCGAAGCCAAATGTCACCTGGGGGAGTGCTTTGTAGCGCTGCTAAGGGGGGCGTGGTGGCGCGTGGCGGGGGGCTGGTCAAGGAGGCTCCCCCCGCCCCGGCATCCCTAATGGTTGACCATTAAAATTACGCGGGGCCTCGGGATACAACGCAAGCCGCGAGGGCATGACATGGCGGTACAAGGCCCGCAGTGCAGACCAGTGCAGGCGGGGACGGGCAACAAAAGGGTGTCGCGGGGGAATTCAATTTTTGCCCGTATAGGGGCAAGCGAGACGAACGAAGGCAAGGGCAGAAGGGAATCCAAACGAGGTCTCCAACGGACTCCAGCCAACGGGGGCGCCGCGCTCCAGCAGAAGCATTCGCCCTGATTGCACGCGACGACTGGAGAGAGCGCGCGGCATGCCCCGGGTATTCGATGGGGAGCCAAGACGTAACAGTGTAGCGGTTGGAGGCAGGGTCTCTAGCGCGGTCGGGACGCGCCAATGACTCTGAGGGCAGGGCAGGGTGGCAGCCGGTGGCAGCACTGCTTGGCGGTGCACCAGACAAAACGCTTCCGGCGAGGCCGGGGCCGCGCCTGTCTCTCTCGCACCCCGACGGCACGGGACGCCCCCCGTGAGTGCGACAGAGACAGAGCGACTGGGGCCGGGGGCTGCGCCGACGTCGCCGCGTCACCATTCGCATACTGAAGAGAGGCCCCGTCCACACCCCTCCGTCGTCCCCGCCGCCGACAGCAGCACTTCCCGCGACGGGCACTTGTAATTTAAAGTAGACTTTGCTGCGGGTTTTGCTTTTATATTTTTACACGACGCGGGGCATGAATTATTGATTGGCTTCGTTCGAGTCTGCCGGCCGGCTGGCTCCATCCCGTGCGGGTGCGAGAGAGACAGAACGACGAGGGGTTGGCCAGCCTCTTAAGCGGCCCTCTGAACCTGTCAAGTGGCGGCACTGGACGCGCCACTGGACTTGAGCCGACTCGCGGCGACGGCCTTGGCGACGGCCTTGGCGACGGCCTTGAGGGCCAACCGGACACTCACCTTGAAGTCCACGACGGCGCACGCCTGGGGACAGCCGGGGCCCTGCGGAACACAAACTCGGTGTCACAAACATGTCAATCGGGCGGGGCCGCCGCCAATCCCCAGCCCGGAGGACGACAAGCAGCACGGCCGGGATGAACGGGGGGAAGTTGGCGGCGAGCAGGGAGCACGGAGAGGGCCTCACCAGAGCAGACAAGGCAAACTCCATGAAGCTCCTGCAGGGTGGCGCGACGCGGCCCGTTCACTCACTGTCAGCACGGACAAAGGGCCAAGCCGGCGAGAGCTGCTTAAACTCGGCAAAGAGCGCTCGCCAAAAAAGGGAGAGAGAGAGAGAAAGGCGGTCGCAGCGGAAGAGTTAGACAAAGACCGCGCCACGCGGGACGCGGTGAGGAAGTCACGGACGTCGCGCGGCCAGAAAGAACCTTCTCCTGCTTCTTGCTGTTCCTTCGGCTGGGAAAATAATCAACTGGCGGCGATCTCGCTTATCTATGGCGGCAGCTCATCAAGGGAGAGGGAAGGGGGGGGGGGGCTGTCCTCCGCCACTGCAACCCACCATGCACCACCACAGGCCGGCCGGGGGCCGGGGCGCCACGACCAAACAAGATTTCCACACCCTGATTGCAGCCGTCACTACCACACCCACACAGAGGGACCCCAGCCCCCCATCCCCCAACACACACACATACACATACACGTCCCAGCACAGGAGGCTCCCGGGCGGACATGCGCACGCTGGTTGGTCATTAGTGTCCGGCATATTGGCAGCCCTACCCGAGGGTCCTCGATCTAGGACTCACGCCGCCATCTCTCACTGGCTGCCCAGCGCGGCCCAGCCCGGCCCAGCCAGCCGCCCCGGGCCCGCGACCACGTCGAAACCGAGCCCCGCGACGCCGCCAAGAAGTACATCACAACGCCTGCGTCGCTTTGCCCCTGCTTGCCCCCATCCCCCAAGACGACGACGCCGCCGCACATTCGACTACCCATTATCATCCCTCCCCCTTCCCCCTCTGGCGTGCGCATCGCCCGCGCCGCGTTCAGCAAAAACAACAACCACTAAGCGGCTTAAACGGAGTATATACACGAGTCGGGCGGCTCGGCTCCCACGGCGCCGAAAGCAGCAGAAAGCGGGCCAAAGCGGGCCATACCAGCCGAAGCGCCTCGTTGTCGATGTACGCGGACAGAGGGAGGGAGACAGACTCAGTCCGCCCGGCCGGGAGGAAGGGAGACGGACCGTCAGGCCGAACAGGAGAAAGGCAGAGAGTCTGTTAGCCTGCGCACATTGTTGTGTAGTAGCCTGCGTCCCTGGGGCGGATGGCGGGCTGGCGGGCGGGTCGGGGTGCGTTACCCACGGACGGGCGGACGGGCGGACAGTCGTAAGCACGCACAGTGCCCGGCCGGGGTTGACCGCACTAAAAAAGACGCGTGCACAACCTTCGCCAGAGATTCAACCACACACACACACACACACACACACACACACACACACATCCATCCGTCGACTTTGTACAGTTAGTGCGGTTCAGGAGGTCATATTCTCCAGCCAAGCAGCCCAAGGCGGCTAGCGTGCGCCTCCACCCCAGACAACGCAAGAAGGATAAAATAGGAAAGAAATGCAGCAAATCCCCTGGGGCTGTGTGTGTGTGTGCGTCTGTGTGTTTGTGTGTGTGCGTGTGCGGGACGTGTCTTGCGCCCGGCGCCGGACGGGAGAGCCGCAGATGGCTGAGCCAGGAGAAGAAGGAGGCTTTAAGGGGGTGGGGGGGGGGGGGAAGAAACACGCCGAGGTGTCGATACTGTGTTCGGCATCCGAATACATACGCGGCGCCGCGTGCATGCCACACTCATCATCAAGTCTCGACAACAACAAACAGCAACAACAACACCAACTAAACCGTAAAAAAAAAGTTCTCGAATAATCTTTCCAAACACAGGACAGCCGGCATTTTTTCGTTGTCGCATGCCTTCAGCTTCTGCGGCGTGCGACACGCTGTGGGGGTGGTGGCTCGACGCCGCAACACGCGGACGCCACGCGGAGCCACGCAGAGCTGCGGCCGCGGGTGTGGTCCCACTCCCTTTCTCCCCCGGCACGACCGCAACAAATGGGCGAGCTGAATGCACACGCACACACTTACACACACACTCACACACACATACACAAACACACACACTGGAACAGGGCGGGTCCAGGTAACGCGCGGCGGCGACGATTTAATTGGCCGATACGTGCGTGCGTAACGGGCGGCGGGCGCGCACTGCCAAATCCACGGACGCGTCGTCGGATACATTGCTAAACGCAGACAGATAGACAGACAGACAGACAGAGAGACAGACAGGCAGACAGCGCCTCACTCCGGTTCGACGCGGTAATAGTGATAACAGACTTTTGGCGTCAAAGCGAGTGCCACTTCCAGTGCTGCAGCGGAGCATCGTCACGTAATGCCAGGCCACGCCGCGCCGCGACAAACGCAAAACGACCAATGGGGAACACGCTTTCCCGGCACGCCGCGGCGCCGCGGCACGCCGTCGACAATCATCGTTCCCGTCCCTACACTGCCAGTCGGTCGCGCTGCTAACGCGAGAGGGAGCGGCACAGACGGCGGGCTGCCGGCCGGGGCCTCCTTGCAAGCACGGCGATGAGATGGCAATTACTGCAGCGAGCTCGGGCGGGGCGGGGCGTTACACCCTCATCTGCCTCTCGATTAGGCCCTGTTTCTTCAGCGTGCCGCTCCGCCGCCCGTTGCCGCCTGGCCGGGCGGGTCTCATTTTAACCAGTCTCCTTTATTCGGGCCAAAGGGCTGGCTGCGCTGGGCTGGGCCCACAGTGGCTGGGCTTCGTCCTGGCCCCGACCCATTGTCTGAGTTGTCACGCCGAGCGACCCGCGACTCTCCGCCGAAGGGGATGAGCCCGACCCTGAGTGCCTGCCGCCCTGCCGGCGGACGGGACACCGAGCGGGCGGTGCGGTGCGGCGCCGCCACGTCCCGGCCGGGCCGCACTGAGATAGAGTCCTGCCTGAGGTGGACCGCGGGGCGGGGCGGGGTGGATGAAAGATGCCAGACGGGTTGGTTGCATCGGAATTTCGCTCGGATCGTCAAGAGAAGGGGCGGGGGGCGGGGCGGTAAGAGGCAGGAGTTAGGGCTGCCGGGAAGGGACGGACGGGCCGGGGTCTAGACCGGTCTCCGGGTGCAAGAGGTCATGATGCACAGTCGTGGAACCGGGACCGCTTCTCCGCAAACTCGGCCAAACACAGAGCGGCCAACTCGCTTGCCGGGGTTGCCCGACTTGCCCAGCGAGAGCCCCATTACCCTCGGCGACCTCCTCACTGCGACATGTCCCCCCTGGTCCCCGTCGGCCAGGCTGGCCCGGCTGGCCCCGCACCGCCGTCGCCGTCTCTCTCGCACTCGTGCAGGCCCGTCCAGGTGCTTCCATCCGACTGCACCATTCCATCTGGCGGTCGTCCCGGCCGTCCCGGTCCCAGGCCTCGCCCCGCCACCTCCCGTTCTTCCACCAGACGGCATCGCCAATCAAATTCGAAGTTGCTCCAATCGTGTTTGCGTTCCCGCCGCGTTCCCGCCGCGCCGACTTGTGTACCCCGGCCCTCGACTCTCGGCACTCGACTCCGAGTCGCCGGGCGCACACTGGCGGAGTGGCGGCCTGGCGCACCCCTGCCCCTGCCCCGAGCAGTCCCCGCGCCGCCCCGCGCGGGGTCGCCGACAAGGTGGCCGTCACCAAGGACGGACGGGGCGGGGCGGGGCGGGGTCGGAATAACCTCCGATCCGATACATCGCACAGCAGCGCCCACCAGGCCCGCCTCGGCTACATCAAGAACGGGGGCAACTCTGCCGCCACCCCGCCCCGCCCCGCCCCGAGATATTTACCGACGAGGTCCGCCCTTCATTTCTGGATCCGAGGGCCGGGCAGGTCCTGCAGGGCTCCGCAGGGCCCTGGCACACCATCATCAGCGGCGGCCGCACGCGAGCCCCTCGCCGAGACAAATCTGGCAGCCAATCCCGATCCACCATTCGGGCCTCCCTCACGCACACCACGACACATGACAGATGTAACGCGGCTGGAGGGCCACTGCAGGGCCACAATCACGGTCGGCTGCCCTCCTCCAGAGAGTACACCAAGCCGAGGAGCCTCCACGGTCCGCCTGTGGCGCCGGGCAGCCGGCCAGCCAGCCAGCCAGCAGACTGATTCCGAGAGTCGTTGTCGTCGCTCTGTCTCTCTCGCACTCATGGCGTGTCTCGTATAGGTGCGAGAGAGACAGAGCGACGACAACGACTCTCGGAATCAGTCTTCAGCCAGCCAGCCAGCCAGCCGGCGGCCCCGCCCCGCTCTTCCTTCTCGGAGACTGTAAAGATGTCGCGGAGGGCGGACGGGGCGGACACGCGAAGCCTTGCGAAAGCCTCCCCTTCCAGCACGATGCCTTTCCCTTTTATTCGTTCCTCCGCCGGTTCCATTTGGGCCTCGAGGCCGCGGGGTTTACTGCCCACTGCGCCGAGCACGCCGAGCCGGACGCCAGGCGTGAGTGGGCCGGGCCGATGGACTCCAATGGACATCCTCATGGCGGTCACCGGGTCCTCCAGGGCCGCTTCCGCCGTATCGTGCACGCGGGCTGATTCTCAACAGTACTTTCGCCGATTTGTCACCCTCTCTCTCTCTCGCACTTGTGTGGCGGCGTTCCATAGGGGTGCGAGAGGGACGGAGCGGCGAAAGCACTGAAAGACCGGGACTTCCCTCGTGGCCCACTCGGCGGCGCCGCGACGCTCCACGACGAACCCAATTCACCGGTTAAATATGTAAACAAGTGCCTCAGGGCCCCCACCTCTTTTCCCGCCCGCGGCGGGTACTCCGCATCTTGTTGCCGGGCGTCCCCGAGAGGACGCTCATCGGCAGCTCGTCGCTCTGTCTCTCTCGCGCTCATGGCGCGCCCCGCAAGAGTGGTGAGAGTGCTCGACCGGGCGACAGTGTCCACCTCACGACGCCGTCCTCGCGCACGTCCTCGCCGTCCTCGCCGTCCTCGCGGCCTGCCCGACGCCGCGCCGCACCCCGCCGCGCCCCGCCGCGCCCCGCCGCCACCGCCTCCATCGATCGGGCCGCTGGGCAGGCGCGGGGGGCGGGGGCGGCGGGGGCAACAGGGGCGGGGGAAGCGTGCGTGAGGTCACGGAGGGGAGGGGCACGCCGCACGCGGCACGAGCAATTAAAGGACGCGTCTGAGGAGGATGACAACGCACTCGATTAAGGGGGACAGCGGCGGGGGCAAAAAAAAACCAGCAACGCACACACACTAAATCTCATTCAAGTCCCAGGCGATCTGTCAGGGCGCTGGGCAGCAGCGGGCCGATTCCGAGTGGTGGGTCCTCAGCCTGCCTCTCTCGCACCCATGCGGGACGCCCCTTCACAGTGTGCGAGAGAGAACGGCCGCTCAGTCCTCAGGGCTGCGTGTCGGTCTGTCGGGCGGTCGAGGTTGGAGCCACGAGCCACACGTGGCGGGGGTACACACCGACGCCACACACAGCCGCAGAGACGGGGGTTCTCGGCCGTGCCGGCTGGAGGTCGTCTAAGTGGTCCTTTTAGGCGGGGCGCGGGGCAGGTCCGCGATAGCCAATCTGTCTTGGGGCGGCCAGGTTGAAGCAGTCAGAGGGGTCCGCACGAACTGGCCCCAAATGGGGCGCCGCTCGTGTAGCAGACATTCCGAGAGCCGTTTTCGGCGCTCTGTCGCTCCGGCACTGATGGAGAGTCCCCTGTGGGTGCGAGAGAGGCAGAGCGACGGCACTCGGAATCAGAAACCGTCATCCCTTCTCGGCAGCACGCCGTGATATCTGCCCTCCGGCACGCGTGGACCCGCACTGTGTTGGACAGTGCAGAACTGCATGCTCAGGAAATACGAGAAATACGGCACCGGCACGGCGCACCCCCCGGCCCTCCGGCCAAGCAGCTGCCAGTGACGCCCGCCCGTTTCGGCGCTCTGTCTCTGTCGCACTCATGGCGCTCTGCATAAGAGCGCGAGAGATACAGCGACAGACCGCTCTTTTGAACGGCTCGGCAGGCGGCGGCGTCGGCACCGAAGACGGCGAAACAAAACACCGCCACTCCACTTTCCACTTTTCACGTCCGCTTTCCCCGCCAGGCAAATCCGCCGCGACAGAGTGGCGGGGCGAGAGGCGGGGCAAGGCCGCCAGGCAGGCTCGGACTGGCCAGGGCAGACAGGCAGTAAAATCTGCCGGGGCCTTCGGGTTTAGGACCAGTAACGTCACAAAGTTGGTCAAAAAGTGATTGAATCTCAGAAAGTAGCCGTTTTCGCTGAATTTGGGCGGCCACTGCGTCCGATCTAGTTGCTACCAACGGCCTCCCTCGACGTCCTAGTGTTCTTAAGACCCTACTCTTTCATGCCCTGTATCGGGAAGACGTTGACCACAACGATTTTGCCTTTGACCGCAACTATTTTGGGACCAAAGTTGGTCTAAAAGTGGTCGAATCTAGGAAATTTGCTGATTTTGCTGACTTTGGGCGGCCACTGTGTCCAATCTAGTTACCGTAAAAGGCCTCCCTCGACGCCCTTGCATTCTTAAGACTCTACTCTTTCATGCCCTGTATCGGGGAGACGTTGACCACAACGATTTTGCCTTTGACCGCAACGATTTTGGGACCAAAGTTGGCCAAAAGTGGTCGAATCTAGGAAATTTGCTGATTTTGCTGACTTTGGGCGGCCACTGTGTCCAATCTAGATGCATTAAAAGGCCTCCCTCGACGCCCTAGAATTCTTAAGACCCTACTCTTTCATGTCCTGTACGGGAAGGTTATTGACCGCAACTAGTTTGGGAGCGGTAGCCTCACAAAGTTGGTCATGAAGGGTAAAAACAATGATGATCGGGGGCCTTTTGCGCTCTTATCCGCCGGGGCCTTTTGGGGGCCAGTCCGAGCCTGCCGCCAGGTAATTGGCAAGGGGGAGAGAGAGAGAGAAAGCAGGGCCGCGTCGACTATAGGCCGGCCCCGGAATTTGTGTGAGGGCAAGAGGAAAGGCGAGCAGGCTGCAGCAGTGAGAACGACGCAGTGCTCTCTCTCTCTCCCCCCGCTTGACAGGGAAGAAACGCACCCCATGGAGGAGACACTGAGAACACCGCCGCTGTCTCTGTCGCTCTGCGGGGCGCTCCCTGCGAGTGCGAGAGAGACAGAGCGACTGGCCGCTGAGCACAGCGCCGGCCGGAGCGCGGCATTGAAAAGGGCCACCCCGCCCGGCTGTCCAATCAGGACGCTCTTGCCGCTCCAGCCGCTCCAGCCGCTCCAGCAGGTGGGGCGCGATGAAGGTCCTCTCCAGCGCGGGAGGAGGGACGAGCGCCAATTATGTCCAGGAGCCGGGAAAGAGTGAGAGCCAACTCTGCAGCAATTTCATCCCCCGGTCGAGCCAATTCAGCAAACGGTCGGCGCGTTGCGGCCCGTACGGGACAGCCATCCTTTCGCGCAGGACAACAAAAGTCGCGAATCGACACATCCTGCGCCTCGTAACGGCCGGCGTTCGCGAGATACAGACACCTGTAGTAAAGCCAATGGGGTTGTGGAGGGGGTGGGGGTCGGCTCGGATAACCCGATACTCCCGCCAAAGCGTGTCATGCACACTGCAAGCGCGCCCCGCAGGCCGCAGAGCGCGCAAAGCAGACGCCGCCGCCGTGCTTTACGAGTTGCTCCCGCGCCGACACGGCCGCACGGCGGGGGGAGCGTATGCAGTGGCGCGGAGATAACAGTGGCCCAGAGTCCCATGGTCGGTACCAGGGGGCCGGGGCTGGCCGGAGCTGGCCGGGGTGCAGCAGTTAAGGCAGGGCAGGGCGCGCTCCACAAGTACTGCGCCAGCCACTCGGGCGAGGCAGAGCAGCGCAGGGCAAGGGGTACGGGCGACCCCCGCTGGGGCCCGGCCCCGCTGCAGGGCCCGCTGCCCGGAAGTTAGGCCAAGGCACCCCTGGTCTCCGAGGGAGGCGGCAGTACGAGGTGCGGGAAAAGGAGGGGGGGGGACGCAAATTGAAAGAAACTCGGGTAAGTAGCCCGCCCGTCTCGGGGCGGGGCGGGGCGCGGCATGTGCGAGGGTAGGTAGCAGTGGCTCGGCGGGCCGTGCCCCGGATCGGCTCGGCTTCGTTAACGGGCCGCGCACAGCCGCACTCTTCGCAAGTCCCGCCAAAGCGCCTAGCTCGCACCGCGGGCGACCGCGGGCCTTTGACACGGAGCCCCGGAGCCCCGCTGAGCCCGCGAGGGGTGGAGATAAATCGCGGGCGGGGCGGGGCGGGGCGGGGCAGGCGGGGCGTGCTCCGACGGCTGATTGGTGCTGGAAACGGCCGGGCCGGCCTGCCCCTGCCGCCGCCCTGCATCCGGTCACAGCGATGAGGGGTTGCATGTTCGGCACGCCGGGCGACGGAAACGTTTTCCCCCCCCCCTTTCCACTACCAGGAGGACACACACACACACACACAAACACGCGAAGAGACTGAAGCGGAAAACTCACCAGTGCGGCGTGGCAGTGCCGTGCCCGCTGCGTGGCCCGCTGGGCGCGCAGCAGCGTGAGGCGGCCCGTCGCGCATTGCAGCTGGAACAAACAGGAAAAAGCCGAATAGAGCACACAAATCACATTGGCGCCGCTCTCCGGTGTAGTACCGTGCCGCGTGGACTGCCAGCAGAGCGTGTGTATGCAGCGCGTTCGATACCACTCGGCGGCACACATGGCCATTTCCACTCAAAGTTTAAGTGGGTTATCCCGTGAGCCTTGGCGCTGTGTGCATGCAGACGTGGCGTGTGTGTGTGTTGAGGGAGGGGTGAGGGTGGAGGGGGAGAAGCGTTAATGAGAACAGTGTAAATAATGTGTATACACGACCAAATCAAGCCCGGGCCACGGCGGGCCACGGTGTCCCACAATCCGGGGGCATTAGCGACCCGGTGAAAGATGAATGAGCACTGGAAAAATCACGGCGCGCGACTAGATTAATCCTTCGTGCTGGTTCAATTATCCCCCCTCCTCCCCCTTCCCAGTGTCTCAGTCCGGAAGCGGGCAAAACTTTCAACAACCGCACAGACCGATGCACTTTTCCGCTTTCTTTCGTTTGTTTTCTTTCGCGGGGCGGCAGCGCGCTCGCTTTCAAACTCCCGCCGAGGACGAGCTTCAAGTTCTGCCAGCCAATTTTCAGCCCAATAAAGCGACCCCGTTATTTCGTTCCGCTTATGCGGCGCACCCGCCCCGCCCCGCCCTTATTCCTGCATATTGGCTAGGCGCGGCGGGCGTGGCGTGGCGGTGGAGATGCATGGCGCGGCGCGCAGAGCGGTTCCCGAGCCGCAGCCATCACACCAACCTGCAGCCCGATGGTGCCCCAGTGCCCCCGCCCAGCCCCACCGCCCCTCAGATGGCAACAATAAATAAACGAGCAACAAAAACAACGCGAGCGGCAGTGGCGGTAAAACCATAAATCGAGCCCCGCGCCTCCAGCCACACCCCCACGCCGCCGTAGCTAGCGGTGCCGCCGTGACACTCGCTCGGCTCGGTGGCGATGGAGTTGTCGAAAACGCAGCGACGCAGCGCGGGTCCGGCCAGTCACCGTGGCGAAGAGGGGAGCCGTCGAGCACGGCGATGGCGGCGCGGCGGCGCGCTCGGTGCTCGCCGACTACAAGAACGCCGGCGTGCCGATGATGACTACACCCTGGCAACAGGCGGGCCACTTTACACTGCTTTACACCTCCACTCGGCAAACCCCCGCCCCCGCCCCTTCAGGACTCCGTAGCGACACGCCGCCACCACCCCTCCAGCATCCGCAGTGCGACGGGTGGGGGAGGGGCGGAGGCCTCGCCGACGCGGGGGGGGGGGGGGGGGGCACTGAAAGGAACAGAGAACGCGTAATGAACAGGCTAGACGCGATAAACCGAGTGCCTCTCAGTGCATCGGCAGCAATCATAAAACACCCGCGCCAAAAAAATGAAAAGCAGAGAAACAAAACGGCCGTAGCATGGGTTGCTACTCCGCAGAGCGAGGCAGCCGGAACAACAGCGAAATGGACTCTTTATCCGGCGCCTTGTTTGGAAACTCGCATTCCCGCTTGCGCTGCCGGCTGACAAGCTTCGTCGCTCCGTCTCTCTCGCGCTCCCGCGGGACGCCCGGCACGCCCCGCGCGCGACAGAGACAGAGCGCTGAAAACACGGCGCCAGATAGCGGACTAGCATCGCGACTCCAAGTTGGCCGCGGTCGCGGTGCGCTGGCGGTGCGCTGGCAGTGCGGTGGCGCTGCTCGGGAGATAAAGGAGCGCACGCACGCGAGTTTTGATTCACCACTCCAGTTTCGCTCCAGCGGCGCGGCCCTGCTTCCTTTCTGCCTCCAAACTTTGCGCCTTTTTCCTGCTGGCTGCATGGCCGCCTTCCGGCCCGCCCGCTCCACCAACCACATTCCAGGTCCCTCCGGGTCCCTCGGGCTCCACGCCAAAATCCTCGATTACGCGGAGACGGGGCCGAGGAGGAAAAAAAACTGTAAACCTCGGGCACGCCCAAGACCATCCGCGCGGGTCGCACGGACGGGGGCTCGTGCGACAACGCAGTTAAACCAGGTCAACTGTCAGAACAGGAGGGAAAAGAAAAAAAATATATCTGCGTAAAACGTAACAAGGAAAGGCTGGGGGAAGGCGCCGGGCAGGGTAGGCAGTGCGGGCACACCGCCGCGCGACGGGCCTGCCTACACTGTCGGGGGCTCTGAAGCTGTAACCGGGGTGTCAGGCCGCCGGGCAGGGTAGGCAGGCCCGTCGCGCAGTGGTGCGCCCGTGTTGCCTACGCTGCCAGGCGCTCTGGAGCCAGAAGCGGGGACCGAGACCAAGCAGGCTGGCAGGCAGGGAGGCGGGGCGGGCGGGGCAGGGCGGCAGCACGGACCAGTGCTGTTAAAGTTAATTTTTTTTGTTAACGAGTTAAAGTTAAGCCGTTAACCGAACCGAATTAACGTACTCGTTAAAGTTAAGGCTCTGCGGCATTAGTTAACGAGTTAACGTTAAATTAACGCATTAACGAAGTTAAAGTTAGTTTTTCTTCTTGATGAACTGAAGACATTGCATGGTTTCATGATTTTTGACAGATTTTCAGTCCTAAAGACGCAAAAAAATAACTAAGTTTCAAAACCACTAACAAAAATTGAGGTTTTGTTCATTTTCTTTCACCCGAGACATTAATTTTACATACTGTATGACCCAAATTTCGTCAAAATATGCATCCACAGACGAACAAAGTAAACGTTAACGGCGTTAAGAAGTTAACATTCTTACTTAACTTAACTCGTTAACGTTAAGACATCCTGACTATTTTAACGAGTTAACGTTAATTCGTTAATTAACTTTAACGGCGTTAAGTAACTTCGTTAATCGTTAAATTAACTTTAACAGCACTGGCACGGACACAGTGCCGCGCGACGGGCCTGCCCTGGGCCTGCCCGCCACCCAGGCGGCGCTCTCCGAGGCTCTCCGAGCTCCGCCCCGTACCACTATGCGGCAGTAACCGGCGACACAGCACCCGCCCTAAACAACTCGCCGGCATAAATCCATTTTTACCCTCCTCATCCCAGGCGGGCTGGGCCCTCCCCGGCGGCACAGCGGCCGGGCAGAGCTTACGTCTTCTTTACGGGACGCTCCGACGACGCCCTCGCAAACAGGTGCGGTCCGGAGCGCAAACTCCCAGGCGGCTCTCAATAGTTGAGGCCGGCCCGCTGGACCGCAAGGACGACCCGGCCAGGGCCAGGGCACGCCCTTAACTCGCCGAGCCCACACAGTGTAGCAGGGGACCGGAGCCCAGGGCACGATCCGAACAGTAGAACTCGAATCAAGCTCAAGAGGGTCGCCCAAAGGATTCCTCGTTGCAAGGGCAATCCATTGGTGCCCCGTGTTTGACGCGAGACCCGTTTGAGGAATCCAGGGCTTACTTCGAGTCACAGACACGTCTGCCTTAACGTGTCTCCCGGCCCACGGCACTCGCGGGACGGGGCGGCCAGTGTCCCCCTCTCAGTCGGCCAGGCCGCGCCTCCTGGCCTCGAGCCACACCTCTTCAATTCAGCGGCCCGTCCGAGCCCCGTCCGCCCCCCGCGTCGCGACGCCTCGCCCGCCCCAGCCAGTCGAGTCCGCGCAGTGGAGGGCCCCGCGACCCGCTGCCTAAGAGGGTGGAGGGGCCGAAGGGAACCGAAGGGCCGCCCGAATGGAATGAATAAAGTGACAGACCGCGGTGGGTCGGAGAGAGTGGCCCACCGCGGTCCAGCGCAGTGGCCCAGTCAGCACTTCCCCCGCCCCTTTTTTACGAGAGCGACACGTGCGGCAAGGATTAGCCTGACCGGCCCGGCCGCGAGCTTTACGCCCCTGGGGATCGAGAGAGAGAGAGAGACAGAGGACTCACCGACAGAATCCATTGCAGCGCCCCGCCGCGCCACCGAGCCCGTATAAAATGATGAGTCGTCAATGTGCCAACCAGGCAGCCACCCTTCGAACCCCCCCCCCCCCAACCACCACCACCAGCACCTCAGCCTCAGGACAGAGCGCCTTTGGCAAAGTCGCAGCCAAATTTACGACTCCGCCTTTACTTCCGGCCAACGGCCACGCCGGGCCGCGCGCGGGACAGCGCCGCCGCCAAGCTCTCCATCATGGCGATGGGCCGGGCGGGGCGCGGAACGGCGCGCACGCCCTGGCCGACGTGCCTTTGGCGGAGCCAGGCCCGGCGCCCCGGAGCCAGCGAGGGCGGCGCCAGACTGGCTGCCTGCTAAGCTGCCTGCTGGGGCTGGCCGCCTGCTCGGGGGGTGTCCGCATATTTATCTCCGTGCTTGGCCGCCAAGGCCGCGTCGCCGGCAAGGTCAACGAGGTCGGTCGGAAGGAGGGAAGAGAACAAGGTAGACGTGCTGGAGGCCGTCTGCTGGACCAAAAGCAACACCCCGCCCCCTTTCACACAGACACACACACACAGACCAAGAGCAGGTCGAGGGCGCATAGACTGAAGGAAGACCAAAGGCTTTTCCGGGCGTACCCGACGATGGCCAAAGCCGCAGCCGCCGCCACGGCGCGCGCGCCAAACAAGGAAACGACGCCATCCCGGAGCGGAAAACTCAATTCCAAGTGTCAAAAAGGCTCTGCCGGCGCGGCGCGTGCGGCGCCCATTGCCATGGCAAGGGGGCAGGCCTACCGGACCGGCCGGGCATAGGCATTCCGCTGGTCCGCTCCATTCCAGCCACGTACGGCAGAAAGCTTTCACCCCCCCCCCATCCCCCCACCCTTCCCCCGCGGCGCTTGTTTCCGTGAAACAGCTTAAACGTGTCGCGTTGCAAAACGCAAACCTTTTTCCGTGTCCAGCGCTTTGCAGCCCTGGCCGGTCCTCGGCGTGCGGTGCGTGCGGTGCGTGCGGTGCGCCGGCGTGCCTCGCACAGTGGGTTTGCCAGAAGACCGGCGCGGCCGGCCAAAACTCTAGACGCGTTTTGAGCCCCAGAGTAGCTAAACAGGGCTCCAACCGAACGTGTGACCCCACCAATGGATTCCTCGTTCGGAGAGCAATTCATTGGTGGGGTCACACATTCGGTTTGAGCCCTATTTAGCGACT